AAAAAAAAAAAAAAGGCAGGGATTGGAGATGCAGTTCAGTGTTAAAGCGCATTTGGTGGGGGCTGGAGATGTGGTTCAAGCGGTATCGCGCTCACCTGGCATGCTTGTGACCTGGGTTCGATCCTCAGCACAACATACAAACAAAGATGTTGTGTCTGCCGAAAACTAAAAAATAAATATTAAAAAATTCTCTCAAAAAAAAATTCTCTCTTTCTTCTCTCTCTCTCTCTTAAAAATAAATAAATAAAGCACATCTGGGGTTCATTCCTTAGTACCAAAACAACACACACATTCTTTTGAGGGTTTCCTCTATCTCTTTAGGTCTGTCTGTTTTGGTAGTGTCTTCCACTCTGCACTCTGCTTTCCTTATAGGTCTGCAGGGCCTTGGCTCTCACTTGAGAAAACCCTACAATACTGAAAGTACTTTTTGTGGGGACAGAACTTGCAGAATGGTGGGTTTTGCTGTCAGTAGATGGGTAGCAGGCAGCTTTTCTAATGGGGTGGAGCTGGTCCATTTCTCCAGCAGAAAATCCTCCCCTAATCCTAACCCTCTCCTACTGAGGGTAGATGGATACAGAGAGAAGGTTGGGAGGAGGGCTCAGGTTCCCAGCTCAAAGCATAGACTTCCATATACTCCTGCTTGCAGTCCCCCACTTCAGCCCACCTCCATAGTTCTGAATGAAACTTCTCATTAGGGCTCCCCAGAGGGTGTTAGGATGTTCTGTAAAATAAGTCACTTTCCTTCATCTTTTGTCATTCCAAAAATGTGTTTATATCCTTCTCTGTGCTGGTAGACTAATAGCTTTTTAAACTGTATCACTGTCCTTTTAGTGGGGTTTTGTGGAGGTGAGATGGCATCTGCATGCAGCCATTATTCCTGGTTTAATTGGTATGGTGACCTACTTTGCAAATGAGGAAGTTATTGGTCTCAGAGAGCCAACAAAGGTCACCAGAGGACCTCAGAAGTGGCAGAACTGGGGTTCAGAGACCATTTCCGTCTGATTCCGAGTTCATTCCCCCACAGCTGCTCTTTTCTTGACAGGTTTGGATCTAGACCTGCCTCCCTTCATTGCAAAGGCAGGGAGGAGGCCCCCCCAAACAGATGCAGAAACCTGAAGCCCCGGACTTGCCACCATCCATTCAAACATTCCCTGCACTAGGCCCCAAGCCCTGCTAGGTGTGATGAGCTACCAAGAGGACACGAGATCCCTTCTCTAGTGGGATGGCTTTATGAATAGGTATCTGCCTCTGCTTAGGAAGTTGGGGCGGGTGCCAAGTGAGAAGCTTGGGTGTGTTCCTGCTGGAGAGAGGTGGTGGGTTCCTGACAAGGTTACTAAATTAATTATTTTTTTTGTGTTGCTGGGTATCTAACCCAGGGACTGGGCATTCTAGGTAAGCGTTCGCCTCTAAGCCAGAGTTAAGCCCTGGCTCTTAGACTTAAATAAAAACACAGGACCCCAAATTAAATTTGGATTTCAAATAAACACAGGCTTTGATACTTTAGTACAAGTATGACCCATCAGTATTTGAGCGATACTTACACTAAAACACTCTTCGTGGTTGGTGTGAAACACGCTCGGTGTCCCTTGCATTGGGACCCCCGGTGGGGAAGACTGACGGGCAGAGGTCCTCCGAGCAGCCAGCGCTGGCTAGAGCGGCCGGTGCTGGAACGACGATCTAGCGGGCGCCTGGCCTAGACGGAAGTTGTGGCGCGCACTTCCGTCGGGCGGGGCGGTT